TGATTTTGTAATGGCTTCTTTTGTGCCCTATCATATGGTCAATCTTTGAAAATGTTCCCTGTGAAGGTGAGAAGAATGTGTATTTCGTGATTTGGGGGTGAAATGTTCTATAGATATCTGTCAAGTCCATTTGATGTATGGTTTTTAGATACCTAAAAACCATAGATATCTCTTTGCTTAGTTTTTGTCAAGATGACCTGTCCAGAGGAGAGTGGGGTGCTGAGATCTCTAATGATTTGTGTGCTGCAGTCTCTCTCTCCCTTTAGATCCAGCAGTCTTTTGCTCACACATATGGGTGCAATGTTGGGTGCACAAGTATTTGTAAGAGTTATATCATCTTGGTGAACTAGCCCTTTTAGTTCTGTATAGTGTCCTTCTCTGTCTCTTTTTACAGTTTTTGTCTTGAAGTCTATTTTGTCTGATATCAATATCACGACTCCTTTTTTTGACTTCTGTTTGCATAGAATATCTTCTTCCAGCTCTTTACTTATAGTGTACATATGTCTTTATCAGTGAGGTGTGTTTCTTGTAAGCAGCAAGTAGAGGGTTTCTGTTTTTTTTTTTTTTTTTTCCATGCAGCCAATCTAGTATTTTTTTTTTACGGTTTATGCCATAGAGCGTGTGCACTTACCAGAGACAGACAGAGTGAGAGAAGATGAGAACTCACTCTCCATGGAGGATGGCTAGACCGTAATCCCTTCTCTTCCCTCTTCTAGGATTTTAGGCATGCAAGCACATGTGTCTGGCATGATTCTCAAGCCACCAAGTCTGGGACTCAAATAGCAGTAGTCATGTGGCCGACTAGTGCCACACTGCCTGCTGGCCCCTATCTGTGTCTTTTAATTGGAAAATTTAATCCAGTCTAGTGGCAATCACCAATGTCTTAGGCAAGATGAGTAGGGAATGTGTGAAAGCTCAAGGCTGTTGGAACAAATATCTTTAGTGAGTGGAGTGCTTATTTATAGTGTTTTGCAAAGGTCATATAGTTAATCTGTCAAGATGGCTAGTATGCCACAGAGGGTCATGGTGAAATGAAAAGCCATTCCTGTCACATTGCAGAATATATTCTATATTGTTTGAAAATTCACATACTGCTTATTTTTCCCAAATTAAAAAAAAAAAATCTTGGGGAAAAAAATGGAGAAACTTTTGCTCACGCAATACATTTGAAGCTTGGGAAAGAAACATCGACTTATTCCTCTCCCCTTTTTCTACAATAGTTTCCTTCCATTCTCATCTTAAACTAAAGAGTAGTTTTCTTGTCATATGTTACAGGATTAGATCAAAGCTCCATAGCTAGAAAAGCATAATTACCAAGACTTTCCTATAAAAGAAAAGTAAGGGATAGTAACTGATTACAAATTCTACATCTACAATGTGTAAAATGCAAATAACTTGTGACCAAGGACATAACATTTGTCTAGTAATACAGGTAACATTTTACCCATGTCCTTTTTTTGTAAGTTTAACATTGTATTTATCCTTTCATGTACCCTGACAAAAAATATTATGTCTGTAATGTCATCAATGAATTACATAGCAGCTCAATATTTTAAAACTTTAAATTAGTTCTAACTGAAATGAATTAATCCTCAAGGAAATTGTTCTCACATTTTGTCCCTATATTTAAAAGACATATCCAAAAGAAAAGATGTTTTATTATCAGAATGTTCTGGGTCAGTTAACAGACTTTTGTCAAAACAATATTAAATTTAGAGATTTAGCTCAACTGATTTTACTTTACATCCAAGTCATGCCTAATAAGAACTTTTTAAAGAAAGAGAACATTGTATAAAAAATGCCTATTACAAAGCAGCAAACTAAATTCTCTGTAATAACTTGACATGTAGTTTTAGACTATCATGTAGATTTATAAAAGGTACATAAATATATACATACACACGTATATGTGTGAATGTACCTATATATGTGTGTGACTAAAGAGGAAGACAAATTGAAGGAGGAGATATATATTTTAATACAAATTAGATTTTTTGAAAAATAGTTGAAATTCCTGAATTAAAGTCTTATTTATGCAGTTAATTATCACCATGCTTATTTTTAAATGTTCATATGTGTAAAGCAAATATTTCAGAGAGAAAATTGCTAGATGAAATTTCGTTGTGTGTTTCTGTAGGCATCTTTCTTATTTATGAAGAAACTTCCTACTGAAGAGCTAAAATCCTACATTTCTCTTATATTTGTTCTTAAACAATGCCTTCAAGGAAGTGAGAGACAGGTATTCTAATCATATGCTTTATCCATTAGAATTTTAATTTCAGTGGTGCAATAAAGAGACATAAGCTGAATCAACCTGGACAGGGATAGCGAGATGTATAGACACCAGATGGAGCTTTCAATCATCTAAAATGATGGTTTCATAGATCTCGAATGAAATAAATTTTCCAGGTGACATAAACAGGCTAGAAAACCTGCATAAGTGACTTGTTAAAAAACATGATTTGGAATGAGGACTTAGGTCACAGGTCACTGGACACAAAATGCCAGCTTTTAACTACAGAGTTGTTGAAAATCAAAGCAAAAAAAAAAAAAATGATCTTAGGGCCAGCAATATAGCACAGTGGTTAAGGGAGCTGGTTCCCACATGACTGACCACAGTTTGAGTCCTGGCCACAGTGGCTTGACAACCATATCATGTGTATGTGTTCCCAAAATTCTGATGGGAAAAATGAATAGAAGAAAAGGATTGTACCATGACCATGTTCCATTATGGAATGATTTCTCTCCTTGCCCATCTCTCTATAGCAAGCACGCAGCCCTCTGGCATTAAACAAATAAAATGAAAACAAAAAAGAAAGAAAGAAGGAAATGGTTTTAGTAAATTAGAAAGTCCCTTCAAGTACACATTATTTTGAAATCTAAAATAATCCTATGAAGAATAGGGATTTGTGGAAATTACTTTAATCACTTTGGAAGTCTTAAAAACAAGAGTCTGATCTTTGCTCTCCTTTTACAGTAAAGACAGACTCTTCTTCAAAGAGAACCATTACCTTGTACCTTATGCCATTTTTGTACTATTTAGGAAGGAAAATATCATTAATGATTTTAGGTGTTTATGAACTAGTTTGAGTGGGAAGGAAAAAATTAGTATTAAACATCTTTATGCTCTTTTGAGGACAAAATATTCCTCTCATCCCACCATCTCTGCTGTTCTTATCTACTCATTTATTTTACAACTTATGACATCTTGATATTCTTTAGTCTGTCATTGAAGGCACTTGATATACTAACCCACACATTTATTTCTCATTATGACTACTGAAAATCCTTTGCTCTTGACAGTTAATACTTGTTATTAACCTCAAGTTTTAAATTTTTTTCATAAATATATTTCTTTCTTTGCCCAGTAAAGTCTCATTTTTTTCTATAGTATCTTTCCTAATCCTTCATGTTTCCAAATATCACTAGTACTTGTTTCATGCACCTCAAATCCTAGCATCAAATGAACTACTTCCTTCTAGGACACATACTTTTTAACATGATTACGCTTTTTTTTTTTTTTTTGCCTGTCTTCTATAATCAGAAATGACTGACAGAATTCCCCAAGGGATCCTATGCCAACCTCCGGAATTCTGGAACATGCACTGTTTTGTCTGGTTAGAAGTGTTGGGGTTCTTCAGCCTAGAAAATCACTTGTCATAGTTCTTCCATTATTAAGATAAGAATGGCCATGGTAGAACATACTTTTCTGACTGACGGTTGGGCTTTTTTTTCTTTTTTACTAGAATAGATTTAAAAGGTGCATTAAAGTCAGTTTTTTTTCTATTTGCAGTTTATCTCAAGATTAAAAGGTAAGCAGAATGAAGAAGGCCATCACACACAAAAGCTGCTAGGGATGGACATGCTAGCTCTCATTTGTGATTAAACCAGTAGATGTGAAAGTGTGTCAAAATTAAGTATTTAAGCCTTTTGAAAATGACTGATTGGGGTGGCACCATAGCATAGTGGTGAAGGGAGCCAGATCCCAGATAGCCTACTGCATGGTTCAAATCCCACGCCCAGTGCCTTGAAAAATACACTGGGCATGGGTGCATGCATGACAAAAATACAGTTAAGATGGAGAAATGGAAAAGAATGGATTGTCATGTGACTATGTCCCATTGACAGGTGATTTCTCCCTCTTCCTTTCACTGTCTCTTTCTGGCCACCACACATGCTCTCTGGCAAATTAAAATAAACATTGGGCCAGACAGTGGCATGGTGGTTAAGGAGGCTGAATCCCACATGGCTAACTGTGTAGTTCTAATCTCAGACCTGAAAAACATACCAGGCACATGTGCGTGCATATGTGAGTGCCACAAATCCCAAAGTGAGAGATGGAGGGGAAGGAATTGCAGCATGATCGCAATCCATGAGGCGGGGAGGTTGTCCCCTTTCTTCTCTCCCTCTGCGTCTATCTATCTGACAAGCACATACATCCTCTAGCAAATATAAACAAATAAACAAACTTTTTAAAAGAAAATGATTGATTGTACAAAATACTGTGCCAAGAGGGCAATAAGAGGCTAACAAAAGAGAAATACCAACCAGTCTCAGGATATTTCAACTTAGAACAAAAATAAATAATTAACACGTGTTTGAATAAAGGAATTAAGCAGGTGAAGCAAAGGCAGTGGGAGTTTATTTGATAAACTGCTTCTCAAACATGCAGCAAACAGATTAGATGGATAAAATATAGACTACCACCAAACTAAATAAAGAAGGGGAAAATTATACCCATAGGTTGTTTGAAATATAGGCTGAGCTATGAGGCTCTATCTGCTCTTACATGTAGTACCGAGATAATTTAATGCCTACAAATAGAGCCGTGAGACTATTTTGATTTGTCTTTTGGCTGTAAGTCTAGTGAAAGACTCACCCCCCAAAAAGAGTAGTACCTTAGATTTAGCCCACTCACTAATTGGATAAAAGGTTTCTTGGTTTAATTGATGACATTTTATAAACTCAGATGATTTTGTGTTAAGGGACATTGGATTGAATAATATCTTATATTTAAAACCTATAAATTTAATGACGAGAAGCCACTGGCACTGAAGATATGGGAGCCAGGGCCCACTTCTCTCTGCCTCCATACGTAACAGGAAGCCAGATGGCATGTCCATTCCCTGCCAGAGAAAGGAGCACAACGTTGCCTTTTCATAGTGGAAAATAATCAGGAGGTGCAAAGTAGTTATCAAACTTTGTTTTTCAGGATGAAAAATTTCTAGAGATCTGTTGCACAGCAATGTGAATATGTTTAACATTATTAAATGGCATACTTAAAATGATTAAGATGGTAAATTTGATATTTCAAATTTTTTACCAAAATTACTTTTTTCTTTATTTTATATTACCTACATATAATTAAAAACATTATATAACATCTACTATAATATGTAATAGATAATGATGTTAAATATATTGGAAAAAATATCTATAAGATGAGCCTCGTATTAGCTGAAAACATCTTAAGACAAACTCAGGTATAGTCTTTCCTATTTCAGTCAAAAATTTGGATGTAAATCATACAGAGTAAGTTATAAAAGCTATAGAACTTTAATAATTATCACTGAACCAATTTTAGGCATTTTGGTTGAGCTCTTCTTAAGAATATATCCTTCTCAGGGATCAGACCAGTAGTTGGCGTAATGGCTATGTCGCTGGACTTCCACGTAGTCGATCTCGGTTCGAGTTCCAGACCCAGTGGCTTCAATTCACGCCAGGCGCATGTGCATGCGTGCCCAAGATCCCGAGAAGAGAATGGAAGAGAAGGGATTGTGGCGTGGCCATCCCCCCTGGGGGGTGATTTCTCACTTTCTGTCTGTCTGTCTCTCTCTCTGTCTTTCTGGTGAGTACATGCACCCTATAGCAAAAACTTCTCAAAAAAGAAAAAAGAATTTATCTTTCCAAGACTTGTGTTTATATTATTAAGACTATGAAGCATAAACATTCTTATTTATTTATGTCATAATGACCTTTCTTTTAAGAAAATACAAATTATAGCCATACACTTCAGGTAGTTTGCCAAGATTCTGGGAATGATATAATTATTTTGAATTCATCTGTGATTTGTTTAAAAAAGATAGCGATTCACATACTTTTTTTTTTGATGTGCGGTGTTTTCTAACCTAAGTAATGAGAATGTTGAACTTTTGCAAGGAAATTGCATAATTGTTTTTATCATAGTGATTTATTGCTGATGCTATTTGTTTTCATGAAATTAAATATATACTGCAGAGATGGATAGTTCTGTTTGCCAATAACATATGTAAATACTTTTTGTTTTTTCAGATTGGATTTCATACCATGTCTCCCGGAAATAAGTGGGTAGATGGTATTAGTGAACCGCAATTGATATTTTTATCCCATCTTAGTCTACAAGGAATTTTTAAGAGCAAGTTGCAATAATGGTAATAGTTCAGGGGGAAAAAAACTAGAATTCTGATGTTACTTTCTGATTAGAGTAGACATGTATTCACCTGAGACATAGTGCTTGTTCTCTAAATATTTGTGGAGGAAAACAAGTCTATTTCTATAGGCTAAAATTATAGAAGCTGATTTTTTGGACCAGCGCAATCCAGAGGGAGAAAGAAGCAAAGTTGTGTTTTTTGGAATCACAGTAGGCCCTAATTGTTCTGGAAAGAATTGCCTGGGGTGAGCATGTTTTAACCCATCCTATGGCATTTAGACAGGAACCTTTCAGCAGCATGTGGCATGGTTTGAATATCATAGCAACACGTTAGGGAGGACTGCTCTTAGCACTTCTGCATTAATCAAAAGAGTTCTGAATTGTTCAACTTCACTGAAGAAACAGTATTCAGTGATCTGCTTTCCTTCGAGCATGAACAAAGGCTTTTTTCATCTCACTCAAGGAAAGTCGAATCAGTTGAGAGCCTGGAAAAGAAATGGCTTTAAGGAATTTCACAAGCTCATAAATCTGGAAGTGACCTTGAGAGGTCAACTGCACATTTAGACCACACCTAAGCCAATCCTGGAGAGATGAGACTCTGCCCAGACAAATGCGTTCTTGAAATTCTTTGACAATAGAAACTAAATGAATTGTAAGGTCTTTTGCTCCAAGAATAATCTCTCTGTTTGAGTTTGGATCGCTGATACCGCCTTGTGAAATCCATGAAAATTCCACATGTGGTAAGATTTTATCAAACAAAAAGTGAAGAAAATATTACCTTTTCTTATAGCAACATCTGTTGTAAGAGATTCATTCTAAATATTAGGGGTCTTCATATTTGTGTAGTATTTGGGAAAAACAATAAAGAACGTAAGATTGCTTTTATATTTTTTCTTCTTCAGTGTTGTTTGTCAATACGTGATACTATTTTATAGCTTGTGTTTACATTGAGGAAAATGAATTTTTTTCTTGCATCAATATTAAAGTGTTTTCTAATTACATTTTTACCATTATGACATTCATAGGTGAATTTCACTTCAAATATATTTTTAAAAATCTGTTGTCATTATTATCTTTTAACAATACAAATCACATTATTTATCTATCAGTAGATTCAGAAGTTTAGGGTCAATGTTTCTAATTCCCTATAGAGAGTCTGTTATTATAGTTTCTTTGATTAATTATTTACTTTTCTACCTTCTAAGGTGAGAATTCTTTTGTATGTGTTAATGTTTTAAGGAATCAAAGACATATTTATGTGTCAAGGATTACGATGTTAGCAGATCTTTTGATATTCTTTACGGTGAGTGTCTTTCTTCAATGCACATTCTTTTGTTACAGAATGATAAGTCAGAGGAAATCTGCTTTTCTACTTGAAAATTATCTGATAAATTTTTGTTAAATATAATTTAACACTTTGATATATTTGAGCCAGGTTGGAAGATACTAGCGGATCTGCATTTTTTAATTGGTAGAAAGTCCTTACCATTATAACGCTGTATTTACACCTTAAGATGTTCTAAAATTCAAGCAATTATAATGTTGCAATGGTTAGTGACTTTCTTGATCTATCGGTTCAAAACAAATATATACTGAAAAAGAAGCCACACATACATATTACATACTTAATTTTTAATATGAGAAGAAATGGTGAGGGATAGTATTCAGATGTGTTTTGGCATTTGATATTATTTACATATAATAATCAAGCTTCTCCAGGTACAAAATTGAATTTAACACTCGTGTGTATGTGTGTGTTGTGTTTGTACATGTTTAATAATTTTTATTACTGAAATTGAGCAAATTTCCATTTTACCAGAAAGAGAAAAACAGTCACACAAAATAGTGTAAGTATTATCTTCATTGATCATAATTTATTAAAACAAAATAACATTATCGTAAATCTAATTCTGTATCTATAGTCTTTCATCTATACCTGGTAGCTAGTGTATATATCTTCTGTATAATTATTACTTGTTCATTCATTCATTCACTTTTTCCTTAAAAGTGCTTTTACTTTGTCATTTTAGATACTGTTTCATGTCCTCAAGACAGAGAAGAGAACCAAAAGGCAAAGATTCACACCCTCTGGGAGCTAACATTCTAGCACTGGGTTGCAGACAAAGCACAAATAAGTGAGTATATCAGGTACCATGCCTGACAGTCATGAATACAATTTAAACAGGGTACATAGGGGCCAGCAGGTAGCATAGTGGTTAAGGCACTGAACTCCCACATGTTTGGCCATGGTTTGAGTCCCAGATTGGTAGCTTGAAACTCACCCCAGGCACATGTGCATGCGTACCCAAAACCTTGAGAGGAAAATGGAGAAGGGATTGCAGTGTGGCCAACCCCGTTAGGGATGATTTCTCACTCTTTGTCTGTCTCTCTAGCAAGTGCATGTGTCCTATAGCAAACATTTCAAAAATAAATAAAAAAGTGATAAACAAGGAATACATAGAAAGCCTCCCAATGATGCAATATGAATGAAGTGAGGTACTGAGCCATGAGGGTACCTGAGGAATGACAGAACAAGAGAAGGTACAAGTGGAGAGTCCCTGAGACAGAAATGTGCCTGGATTGTCAAAGAACAGAAAAGTAGCAGTATGGCTGGACCAGAGTGAACAAAGGGGAGAGAATAGCAATAACTGAAGGCAAAGAGGTAATGGATTGGGAGAGTAGCAGAAAATGTTGGATCTTGTCTATTTTGTGAAACCTAATTATATTCTGATATCATGGGAACCATTTAAATTTTTTTTTTTGAGTTTTTTGCTACACGGCGCATGTGCTCGCCAGACAGACAGAAACAGAAAGCGAGAAATCATCCCCCAAGGGGGATGGCCACGCCATAATCCCTTCTCCTCCATTTTCCTCTCAGGATGTTGGGCACGGGCGTGAGTTTAAGATGCCGTGTCTGGGACTCGAACCATGGTCGACTACACGGGAGTCCAGCTACACAGCCATTACGCTAACTTCTAGTCCCTCTATTTAAATATTTTGAGCAATATGGTATGATTTATATTTTTAAATGATTATGTCAGAGACTGTGTTAAGAACAGATTGCAGGGCTGGCCCCATAGTTCAATGTTAAGCATTATGCAGAGAGATCCAGATCCTACATGGCAGATCATGTTCTGAATCCCAACCTCAGGGTTTCAACACTGGTTTAAAAAAAAATGCTGGGCATATGTGCATGTGCCCAGGATCTTGAGGAAATGCTGAAATAAAGGAAAAGAAGGAAAAAAATAACATACACACACACACACGCACACAATTGTATCATGACTAGTCCCTCCCCATTGAGGGATGCTTGCTCGCTCGCTCGCTTGCTCTCTCTCTCTCTCTTCCTTGTGCCCATGCACCATCCAACGTTAAAAAGAAAACAAAAAGAATAAATGTTAGAGGGGATAAGGTGGAGGCAAGAGACCATTTAGAAGCCTGCTGCAATAATCTAGATTTCAAACTATAGAGCTATGTGAGTAGCTCTGGTGGCAGAGAAAAGTAATCTAATCCTGAAATAGAAATTTTCTGATAAACTTTACAGGAGTAGTTCCAAGGTTTTAGACTTTGGAGAGGAATGGAAGAAGTTAGTGTATACTGAGGTGAGTCCTGGTTTACATAAAGTGGTGTAGAGTTACTATTAACCTCATCCTTTCATTCTCAGAAGTGCCCAGAGTTGAATACTACATTATATAGTCATTCTGGATATGGGAAATAAATCAGGAAAACAAGGA